GACACTACTGTTATTAGTGATCCGCATAAAAACATAAAAAACTTCCATTATAAAAGCATTCAGAATATCAAAAAAATTATTATGAAACATAATAAAATACTTGAAACTATCTACATCCACTGCTATATATCTTATTCTCTTTCTTGTTAAAGAATTTTCTATGAAAAGTTCTCTATCATGGATTGCAACAGAAAAAAATCATTTGGGTTTAAGGTTTGTATTCTTAAATATTTATTAGAGCAGAAAATCATATAACTTGAATATTTATTTTATTTATCTAATATTTTTTTTGTTTTATATTAGAAATAAATGCTAGAAAAATTCATAGAGAATATCTAGCACCCAACATTTGATTTATCCCAAAATTCAATGATTCGAAGATATAAAATCATATTTTTAGGAAAATAATTTTACTTTAATATTTTGTGTAAACAATGTACATTACAACGAATAACACTTTTTATGGCGAAACTTTCATCTCCAACATGCTAAAAACCGAGAGGATATGTCTTGGGAGCGGAAGGTTTGATTTTTTTATAAGATAAACAACATGTTACGTTGGTGTTATAAAAAACTGAGGTAACACAACTATAAGTTAGCATCTTTTTTATACATAAAAAATTAATAAATCTATTATCTCAGTTTTCTTGAGAATCGAGGTAATATAAGTATAAAGAACCTTGCTACGAATCTTTGTTGCCGCATTTAAAATATTTTTCAACGATTTATCATATGACGTCTTTTCCAAATGCCATTTTTTTGTTAATTAATAATGCTCAAAAACTTTGTTATCGATAAACAAGAATAGGCAATAATAGAAAAACGAAATATTTCATTGATAATAATAATTAAAAAAATACCACAAATAAAACTATTCAACAAATTCAAATTTCTCAGTCCTCTTAACTTCAGCATTACCCCTAACTATTTCTAACTTATAAAAAAAATCATAAAGAACTCTTCCATAAGGTATGAGGAAAGTTATTTCCTCCCGAGAAGTCTTTATCATTTCCTTTAAGAAGTTGAAAATGGCTAGAGGAAGATTAACTCTGATGTTGTAGGTGATAAATAATAAGAGATGTTTTGTCATACCAAGTAAGCGTTTCCAGATCTTTCTCTCTTGAGTAGAAATTTGTCACTAGAAGTTGAAACCAAAATTTTGCAATTGGAAGTAGAGATACATGACTGTGGAGCTTATTTTGGTTGGTATAAATATAGTGAAGTTGGGTTGAATAGACAATGTTGAATTCATAATGTTTAACACAACTACCCGTCTCTTAAGATTGATTGTCATAGCAATCAGTTATGGAGTAATGAATAAATGAGAGACATTGATATAGGACTGGATGACTTAATCATGTCCAGCTATCACAACATGGGCATTCATCCAGAACTCTTTAACGAGATTAGTGTATATGGGGCCATGAAGAATATGAAAGTAACCATTCAACCTTTGTCTGTTAACAGCTTTCCTTAGTTCAAAATGATCAAAACAATTGAAATCAACATACTTTTCATTGATAACGAACAAGATATTTACATCCATTTTTTATAAGAAAAAAAGGACTTTGAAATGAGAAAACAAGACACAGAGAGTTGGTAATGAGACGTTGAAAATAGGAAAAGACCTTGAAATAATGTTTGAAGACACGACGAGTTGGTAATTAGAAATTTAAATAGCTCAAAATCCTCCTTGATAATCCAAAAAAGACCTTACAACTTGAACATCGTTGATCATTGCTATTCTAGCTAAGTAATAAGATTCCAATGCATGTGCGTCACATTGGTGTTATAACCTCTGTTTTATTTGTATTTTTTATTTGTAATTAAAATTTTCTAACTCGTCGGTTCTCCATAAAAACTGAGGGAACATTTAGCGTTAAAATTGAAACCTCTATTTTAATTATAGTTTTTATTTGTAAATTAAATATTCTAACACGTCAGATTTCCTAAATATTAAGGTAACATTTAGCGTTAAAATTGAGATATTTATCTAATCCTTAATCAAATTCTTGTCGTCCATTTCATGACTATCAATGCTCAAGACATTACCATTAGTGATTTGCCTGAAATATAAATAACTTCCATTATAAAATCGTTCTGAAACTATCTCAATTTTAAAATTTGCAAGAGTCTTTGTCATGAAGAGTTCTCTATGGTTTAAGGTTTGTGTTCTTAAATATTTATTTGAGCAGAAAATCATTTATTTATCTAACCCTTTTTTGTGTAACTCTTTTTTGTACATATCATAAACAAATACAAGCAAAAGTCATAGGGAATATCCAACATCATAAAGAGTTTAAGATTTGCAAGAGTGTTTGTTGTGAATAGTTTTCTACGATGGATTGCAAGAGCAGAAAATTATTTGGGTTTAAGGATTGTGTTCTTAAGTATTTATTTGAGCATAAAATCATTTATTTATCTAACTCTTTTTTTATCTAACTTTTCTTTTGTTCATATCAGAAACAAATGCAAGCAAAAGCCATAGAGAATACCCATTTTTTTGTTAGGAGAAAAGAGTTTCCAATGCATTTGATCTTCTCCAGAATATCAAGGAATTGAAGATTCAACATATGATCTTCATCGATAATTAACTTTTTTCTGTGTAAAAAATATAATATTCTGGGTAAGTATTGTAGTTCGTAAATAAATTATTTTATTAATGTTATGTGTAAACAATGTAATGAGTTTTATTTTAAAAAAACTAACAATCCCTTGGTTATTTTGATAAACCGAAATAAAAGTATGCTAGTTTTGAAAATAATAAAAGTTGTTGTTGCTAGAGTTCGAACCCATGCGCTAATAAACTTTTACCTCGGTGTTTTAAACATCGAGGTGATAAGTTTTTAATTTTTATGACGATCTTATTCACGTCGACTCTATTGTCGGGGTAAAATGTATTTCGCGTTTGACGTTATAGAAACATTATTTGTAGTAGTGGTAATATTCTGGGTAAACAACGTGTAGTTTGTAAACAAATTAACTCTTTAATATTCTATGTAAACAATGTAACGAGTTTTGTTTATAAAAAAAACAATCTAACTTACTCTACAGTTTTATTGATAAACCAAGAGGTATGAGGCGCTAGTTTTGAAAATAATAAAAGTGTAGAATCTACGGTTCAAACTCATGTGAAGATAATGTAATCTCTCGGGTTTTAAAACACCGAGGGATAAAGTGGTAACATTTCATAACGTCCTTCATTACCTCGCTTCTGTAGACGAGATTAAATGCATTCTGCGTCTGGGGTGAAATATGTTTTTTTTGTAGTAATGAACTATATAATAAATTATTATTATCCTTCAAGCATACTTCATAAGTTCTTCAAAAACTATATAATAAACTATTATTTTTCTATTTACCATGAACGTTTCATAACTGAATCATTTAGTAAAATTACTTGAAACTTTATTATATTAGAGTTGAAAAAATGGGGTGATTTTGATTGTTGTTGAGAGGAAGAAGAAAAAAAGAAAGAAGAGAAATAGTGGAAGCGGTGGGTTGTGTTTGAAATGGAAGAGGAATGAAACAATTTAATAAAACATATTACTGGGAGCGATGGGGTGGTGGCGTGTCATTAATCAACAGGAATATGTGCGACGAGGCTCTCCTCATAAAAGTAACAGTCAGAAAAGGCGTAGGGCAGTCCCTCGTAAAATATATGTTTTGGAAAATACTCCCTACAGACGCAGTCTACACACTGCCACCGATGGGACGCATGTTGTCTCCTACGCGTGGGGATACCCATCGCAATTAGTACTTTGTCATTTTTTTGGGGTTATCCCTGACAAATTTCTGCTTTATCGGACCATTGAAATGGTATTTTGACGTCATTTTCATTTTCTAGGGGTTACCCTTTGCAATACATTTTTTCAAAAATAAAAAAATTCCCTCTTTTCTATTTGTGAGGAATAACCCTGGTGTATATATATATATATATATATATATATATATATATATATATATATATATATATATATATATATATATATATATATATATATATATATATATATATATATATATATATATATATATATATATATATATATATATATATATATATATATATATATATATATATATATATATATATATATATATATATATTGCGAGGGGCTTTACCCCAAATAACATAGTTTTTTGTTACCCTGATAAAATTTCCTACCTATTCAAAGGTTTTGTTATAGTATCAAAAACTATATAAGAAACTCATTATTTTACTATCCTTTATGGATGTTTTATATGTTCTTCAGAAACTATATAAGAAATTCATTATTTTACTTTCTTTCAAGGATGCTTATATGTTCTTTTTGAACTTCATATATTCTTTAAAACAACATAAACTTATTATATTTTTATCCTTCAGAAATATTTGATAATTTAATAAAATATATTATATAATATCAAAACTCAAACGAGTAATATAAAATAAAATAATAAAAGACTAATATTATTTTTTATTGTTCTAAATTCAATTTTTTGTCAATTTTAAATTTAATAGAATTTAGTGCTGATAACGTGTTATGAAAATAAATAAAATAATAGAAGCGAAAAAGCAAAATAAAATATAGTGTATTGTGTTATTTTCATTATCCATATTAGTTTCAAATAAAATATAAATCCTATTTATAAAATATATATTATAAATTTAAAATCAATATGAATTCTCTAATTAATAAAAATTGATAAACATTCCTTTTATAACAACAAAAACCAATTTAAAATGTCTATATATATAATTATATTTTTGCATGTGTGTATCACTATCTATGTTATTCCCAAAAATTATAACTCATGCAATAAAATATACATAAAATTAAGTGCATTAGGTTCATAAGTCCTAACTCAACTGGCTGAAGGAATACTACCATTTCTACCCACAAAAATAGTTAAATGCAATATAAAAGTAAGTGTCTATCTTTTCTTCTAGGAAACATAAACAGAGAAAAGTAAATAACAATTTTATTCAAAAAAGAAAGTAATTTCCATAGAAACATTTACATTATTGAACATGCAAAAGCATTTTCATCGTTAAAGTTTTGATTCGGGTAAAGATATTGGGTAGAGTATTGAGAAGGATAACTAAACATAATTATATGTCCATGATCTCTCTCATCATTCTTTTTCCCTTCATCTTTTTTTCTTTCATCTTTTTTCTCCCCTTCATTTATAATCTCTACATGCTTTCCAAATTTCTTTTTCACATATTCAACAAGCTTTGAAGAATCTACTATTCCTTTGACAGTAACAAGTGAATTTTCCTTGTCCATTTCCACAGATTCCACACCTATCATACAATAATCAGATAATTAGTTAATCACTTTTAAATTCCTCTATTTATTATCTTGATTTATTTCAAATAAAAAGAGGATACTTTCCATTTGATCAACAAAAAAAAACTACCTTCCATTTTCTCAATTTTTCTCTTGATATCATTTACACAACCTTCGCAATGAATATACATCTTGAGCACCATAATTTTTGTTTTTACCTGTTTATAATAATAAATTAACAAAAATATATTAATAAATATATAACAACATTTGAGATCAATTATATTATAAAATGAACAGAAAAAATAACAATTTAACCTGTTCCTTTTTTTCTGGTTCTTTTTTCTGTTTGTTTTCAGGCTTAGGTTTTGGTGAAATGAGCTCAACATTTTTGTTGTATTTCTTTTGAAGTCTTTCCAAAACCTTCAATGGATCGTTTATAACGTCTCCTTTGAGAATGATTCTATGATTTTCTCTATCAATCCTTATGTGATTTATTCCTAATCAATACATACAACGTTTCATCATTTAATTAATTTTATAATTAAAGCATAACACAAGAATAAAGAAAACAAACTATAGTATATTTAATTACCTTCATAACCTTTTAAGCACTTAGAAATTTGGTTAGAGCAACCTTCACAATGTATATTTGCTTTCAACACAACACCTTTCTCTGATTCTTTATTTCTCTTATTTTCATTGTTATCTTCTTTATTATTGTTTTGCTCCTTGTTCTGTCCATACAAAAAATACAAAATTATCTTTGCAAAATACTATCGAATACTCTCTAATAATAAAGTTGTTAAAAGATACTATATTTTAAAAAAAAAACTATATTTTTACTAAATTAATTTTATTAATGTTAATTAAAAAATATTTTTATTTTTACAATAAAAAAATGAAAATCACATTATTTTAAAACAAATTTAAAGACGACGAGAAATTTAAAATAATACTTCAATAAAAAAGTGCAAATAATGTAAATTTTCTTACTTTCTTCCCCATAATTGCATCCTCTTATCAACTTAAATATATTTGTTGCTATTGTTTCGATCGAACTGAAGTTATGTCTATATGTACTAATTATTTTACCCACATAAGGTATGAATAGTCATAATAATAATAATAATTTTTATATCTTACTTACATAGAAAATTATCAACAATTTTAATGATAGTAAAACTCACAATTGAGTACATACCAAAAAATAAATTTATAATTATGTCTCTACTCTACTAATACATTAATACTCAATATAAACAAGCATGTAGGTTAATAATAATAATAATAATAATAATAATAATAATAATAATAATAATAATAATAATAAATTAGGCACATATCCTAATATGAGGACTTCCAATTATAAGGAGGAGTATCCGGAGAGAACCTGCAGCCTGAAAGTGAAAGTAATGATGCGGTGGATAATGGTAATGGTAAAACTGTGGAACCAGCAACCAAGGAGGGAAGTACTAAAGGAATGGAAGATACTGAAGGAATGAATTTTAAAGAAAGGACGAATACCAGTAACAAAAGAGGGAAGGAAATTATGGAGGATGAATTGATTCAAAACATAAAGATGCGTGAAAATGGAGGCAAGGCAATTTGTGTTGAAGAGAATATTACTAGCAAGGACAAAGATCAGGATCAATGGATAGAGGATAATGTTCAGCTGAAGCATTTGGTTACTGACTATTTCAAAAAGATGTTTGAATTTAAAGACACAAGTCAAGCTTGGAGGCACACTGATTTGACTTTTTCTATAATTTCTACTGATGAGATTATGAGGATGGAAAATAAGTTCACAGATGAAGAAATAAACCATGCGGTTTACTCTTTAAAACCTTGGAAGGCGCCTGGCCCTTATGGTTACCAAGCTAGTTTTTACCAACATTTTAGGAGTACAGTTGGTCAGCAAGTTTTTGAGTTCGTGAAATTGGTATGGGATAATCCTACTATGCTCACAAAGGTTAATAAAAGTGATATTTGTCTAATTCCAAAATTTAAAGTTTCGCAACATGAGTCTCAATTCTGCCCTATTTTGCTTTGTAATACCATCTATAAGGTTGTGAGTAGAATTTTAGTTAACAGACTAAAAGATCATATGGCGAAGTTGGTGTCTCCAAATAAAACATGGTTCGTATATGGGAGAATGATACAAGACAATATCATTATTGCAAATGCAGTTATCCACAATATGAATAAAATGAAGGGCAAGAAGGGAAGATTTGTGAAAAAAGTTGATCTCTTCAAAGCCTTCGATAAACTAAGTTGGGATTTCATCTGGCACACGCTGCATGAGATAAACCTGCCCAATAAGCTTATTAGTGTCATTATGCATAGTATTACTAGTGTGGAGTCGAATGTCAATTGGAATGACACTAGGACTGAATTTTTTCGCCCGCAACATAGCATTCTCCAAGGGGATCATATATCTCCGTATATATTTGTCTTATGCATGAAAAAACCGACTCATCTCATTATGCACGAAGTGAATAACATGTGGAAAACAAATAGACTGAGAATAAATGGTATAATGGTCTCTCATTTAATGTTTGTGGAGGATTTGTTATTATTTGGTGAAGAGACAGAGAAGCAAATGAGGTGTATCATGAGTTTTCTTCAAAAGATTTGTGCAATTTCAGGCCAAGAGGTAAATGAGGACAAGATAAGTATTATCTTTTCAAGTAATGTAGCTACTGATATGAGACACAAGCTTACAAAAATATCTAATTTTAAACTTGCGAGGACGCTAGTTAAATATCTGGGTATTCCTATAAATGGAAAAGCTCTTAAGTGGAATGATTTGCAATACATTCTCTATAACATATCTGTAAAGTTGGCGAGTTGGAAAGTGAATCATCTCTCATTTTTGGGGTGTGTTACGTTGGCTAAAAGTGTAATGGAAGCTATGCCCATTTATACTATGATGACAACTGTCATTCCAAAAGCTTGTATTGAGGAGATCCATATGTTACAACATAACTTTATTTGGGGTGATACTCCTAATGATAAGAGGTATCATGTTGTTTGATGGGATACTATTACCAGGTGTGATACGGTGCCAGGACCGACTGTTAATACTGGTTTGCGTTTTTTGTTCGCAAATGTCGCGGTAAGCAAGAGTCGCCACTGACTTTTCTTTTATCCAATAAAGGAAAGGGTGAAAAGAACAGAAAAAGACCTTTTTCGAGATTTCTGAGTACAGGGGGGTAGATTATGAAAAGGGAAGGTGTTAACACCCTTTCCATCCATGGTTTTCCATGGGCTCTTAGGTACTTGCTCATTTTTGAAATTGCTTGTGTTTGTGTGTTTTGAAAAGCTTTGAAAATGCCTTAGTGCAGCAATTCACTTTATGGTAACTCTTGTATCAGTCCTCAATAGTGTGATAAAGCGTTTTTGAAAACTTTTGTTTGAAAAGTATGTTTGAAAGTGTGTAAAAAGGATTATTTGAGCAAGTACTTAACAATTATCTACCTACTCTAAAAAAGGCATTCTTTTCCTCCTATCCTTTAGACAGTGTTATCCTACTATTAGTGAGTAGGTAACCCTAGTCGTTGGATTTTTGAGGGACTAAGAAAGGGACGTACGACCACTAAGGAAACTGGGAAAAAACTCTTAGTAACTGTCCTAAAGCCCTAAGATCACTTTTATACTGGGGCAACAGTCGAGAGGGTCGTCGAGGACTAGTGATCTCTAGACTTAAGGATAGCAACTAAGAATTCTCACGTTTCGAGAATTGTGACCGTAATTTTCCGAGGCAACCAAGTGGGGTATACCCTAAGGATGCAAGTGTGCAATAGTGCTTGATTCAGTTTAATCTTGCGCATTTAGGGTTATCTATGTTCAATTAATTGTTATCTTTCCAAACGATTCTATTAACCATTCATCTAAGCAGGTTATCATGCAGGAAAATAAATTGCGGAAAAATAAAGTTCCTAACTATTACAGGGCCTTGGGGAAGTTACATAATTAAATGCATAACTGTAAACCTAATTTAATTATTACAAACCAGGAGCAATTACATAATTATAAAATAATACAACAAAGATAATAAACATGCGAAGCGTCTAAACCCTAAAACGCGCATAGATTAAAAGAAAAGTATTTTTTTGTTATGTTTTATTTGAAAAAAATTTAAATGATGGTGTTGTACACCGAAATTTGCCCTCTTATTTTATTCAACACATGCCCATTGAGGTCCCCAACTTGCTCAAGGATGCCTAAGAATCGACCAAACAAACTCTCTCCTAAGGCAATGTACCTCAAATTAGGGTTTCTATTTTCATCAGAGTGTGGGAGCTCCAAAGGTCCCAAATGCTTTACATGGTCCTAATATGTTCTCAAGATCATCCATGTCAATTTTCATTCCTTGCACAAGAAGTTTGCTCAGTTAATTGCTCAGATGCCTGAAAATCAACTGTACTAGGTCAAAAGTCAACTGTGGCCCACATATAGTCAAACTTCAAGATTTTTGGTTAACATCAACATTTTGAAGTGATATTCATAATTTTATCAAGGGTTGATCATTATTCCGCAAGGGATGCCCCAAATTCATCAAAACCCAAAAGTTGCTAAATTGGGGTTTCTCATGAAAAGTCAACCAAACTTTGACCAAGCATAACTTCTTTATGTTTTATCAGAAATTTCCCATCCAAATATCATTTTGAAGAGGATGCAATTTCCTACAACTCATCTTCATCCCCCAAGTTCAAAATATGCACTCATCAAAAGATATGAATTTCTACATTATAGGTCCTTTTGAAAAGTCAACAAAAACAACTTTTGGATCAAAGCTTCTTACATGAAAATGGAAGATCCAATTGAGATGAGACAAAAAGGTTTGTTTAGGGGACATCATAATCTTTCTAAAAAGTCAAAGAACACCTCTCTAGGGTTAAAATCGGAGGAGATATGCCTTGTCAAAGTTGACCATTTTTGCCAAATTGCCAAAAGTCAAATGTGCTCAAAAATGCATTTTTTGTTGTCAAATGGGCCTAGCATTTCATGATTGAATCTTGCTTGTGACATGGTCCACGACCCAAATCAGCATCTACACTTCATTTGCTTCATTATTTATTTTATTTTGATTTTTTATTATTTAAAATTCAAATTAAATCAAATAAATTGCAAAAAATACAAAAGATTGATTTTTGATTTGATTTTTTGTAGGAATCAAATCCAATTATGCTGGCAAATCATATCAAATCAGATCAAGTCAAATTGAAGCGAAATTGGCATGATTATGCTTGTTTTAGAAACATATAATATAAGAACAAAATCAAATCCAATTGCCATTATTAACAAAGATTTAATTCGTTTTTGTTAACCTAATTTATCCTAATATATATACTGAACAAGAACCATGCATAAGAACGAGGATTGAAGTCGTGCAAGCAAACAAAGCAAAACTGAAAAATTGTCAAAAAGTGGTGGATCAATTTCAAGATTAGAGGCTAATTCAAAGCATTCTAAGGCTACCAATAGATTCCTGGACATCTCCAGAACGTGTTTCAATCCATTGCAAGCATCCTCACGCTCATAATCGTGAGCTACAGGCCCATAGTTTGCTCATATAATCTTGAATCTGTTTTTGCAATTTACGCATGATTAAATACCTTTAAGCATAGCATTATGTTGGTATAATCATTTGGAACGTTTTGGTTCAATCAATTTTACATTTTGACGTCTGTATGCGTATTTGCCATTATTAGGGCTTGTTCTTGCGTTTTAGGGTCTTTCCATACAGGTTAAATTGGCCCAAGAAAGGGGTACCATGATGCTCGAGGCATCAAGATGAATCGATCCATGTGCTTGGAATTAATTTATCATGCTTGCTTCTGATTTTTGAAATTTGCAGGGTTATAGCCATGGAAGTTTGTCCGTAGGTATAAGTCTCATACCTAAAACGACGGACAGGGGAAGAAGAAGACAACGTGGCTGATAACCATTGGCCTGTTTGAATAAAACGCGCGTTTTTTATTTTGCAGTCATCCACTTTGTTT